ATATACACGAGCGATAAATCGCGCAAGAAAGTGAGGAAAAAAAGGTAAAGAACGTGGCTGTGTGTTGCGTCTTCGCGATCCGTATTTAGCGTTAAATGCGGATCTATTTCGAGTCTTAAACCCGATCGTAAGTGGATCTCTCGGCGATTTGAAGTAAATACAGCGTATAAAAAAAAAATCGATTCCTGACGCTTGAGAAAGATAGCGAGAGCCGTGTGTGTTTCATCGTGTTCACCGTATCCGCATTTGGGACTAAAAGCGCAACGCGACGACGGTATCGTAGGCTCGTTGACTTTGATAGCCGCGTGCCGTTGTTTGTTACATAAGCATAATGTAAAAAGACGGAAAAAAATGAAAAAAAAAATCCATTGAAAGCTTTAACTTTGAAATAAACTAACTTTTAACAAATGGGTACGCGGAGTTTAACGCGACGCGTGTCCGAAAACATGGCGGACGTGGAGAGACTCGACGCTACCTCGGGCGCGCGATCGTCCGACCGTTTCCATTTATGACGTCTCTCGTTCGAAAAGACGACTTCAGCTCGCGAGGAGCAAGAATCCTTCGCGCTTGGGAATTTCAGGAATGAGAAACTCGGGCGCGAGAATTATTCGCCGACATTTTGGCGATCGACGAAGCGGAAATTCGTGACGACGATCTCGCGCAGCGTCCCGTCCTGCTTCCCGCCATTGTATAAAAAAAATTTACTGTATATTACTTATACATACGTGTAGATGTATACATAAATTGCGCGAAAATGTTAAAAAAAAATACTTGTTTTTTCTCTAAGAAGGGATCGGGAATGAGGAGAGATTGTATCTTTATACATAATAATTAATAATTTTCGGGCGCTCGCGCGTACGTCACGTTGCAGTTGATGCGCAATCGAAAAAACGAAAAAAATCCTGCTTCTTCTAAATGCCATTCTTTCCTGCAAACAAAAGTATAAAAGTCCCTTTAACAGCAGAATTTTTTATTTCGACATTTAAATTTCTATCGAATATTTTATACGATGTACGCTTAACTGCGAGATTAAAAGTTTATTCATTTATTTATAATTAAACGAAAGCGTAAATAAATATCAGTAGCTTCAAGTTTTTCTTTCAAGTTAAATTAATAAGATATTCCATATTTTAATGTTAAAAACGTATTTTTAGAAGTTATCGCAAATTCATTCAACTGCATATTTAATGTTTAGTTATAAAACAATTTAAAATCGCAAATATCTGAAATTTACGATTTTAATTCGTGATAAAAGTAAAAAAAAACTGTCCATGTATCGACGCGCGTGCACTACGATTACGTATGTGTATATGTGTGTGTGTGTGTGTGTATTTCTCTTCTTCAGAAAAAATAAGTACACTTTGTGCACGTGGAACGTAATCTGCCAGTGATCCACGTGATATACCGAGAAAGAGAGAGTGAAAGAGAGAGAGAGAGATGTTACTGTATCTCATACGACAGATATATATATCATAATTCTTTAGCCCTCGAAAATACCGACATATATTTAAAAAGGCATAAGTATGCAAAGAAAAAGAAATCTGAACGAATGCGTGTATTTGTGTGCATGTGTATATCTGTGTGCATGTATATGTGCAAGAATAAGAGAATAAGACAAAGAGAAAAAGTGTAAAAGAGAAAAAGGGAGTTACAGGGAGAATACGAAGACGTAAATATGCATTATATACTGATGTACTATGCTGTAAACGAGAGGTGACAAACCTATCTTATATATAAATATTATACATATACATACATATATATATATATATATATACATATACATATATATATATATATATATATATATATATACATAGCTAGTTCAATTTGCAAACTTAGTGTGTACCGTATCGCTTCGAAAATGCCCAGTCATTACTCGCCAGAATCCAAGAGAAGAAACCTGACAACCAATTTCAAGTTCATTCTTTTTTTAAGGAAAAAAACTAAATAAAATAATGTATTAAAATATTTCGCATGAATGATTTTTCACTTATATAATTAGACCAATCCCGATTTTCTACCGAGAGAGAAGCAATATTGATAATTTTAAAATTGTTATAAAAACGAGAGTAATTTTCTATTACTCTCAGTTCACGTAAAATTAAATAAATTTATAGTAATTTCATAAAACAGCTTTTTTCTTAAGAATTTGTTGAAAATTTGCAAAAGTTAGATACAGAGGAAATATTTGGTCAAATAATATTATACAAGTACTAACTGGTTAATAAGATATTAAATATAATTCAATCAAGTTAGCCATGTATCTGTCACAAGGCGAAATTCCCTGCCAAAAATTAATCATTTTGATTAAGAATATTTTGTATCTATTTTCAAAATGTTGAGAATTCAATGAAAATTGTAGAATGTCCTTACATATGTTTAGAATCTTCAGTACAATTTTTAAATCGATTCACTAAAGCGTTCACAAGTTATAAGGATTTAATTTGTACCGAATTAACATGTGTTCTTATGGGAAACGTATAACCACGTCGATTCGGATGACAAAAACACATGGAAATAATATTCAGAATTTGTTGAAAATTTGCAAAAGTTTAGATACAGGGGAAATACTTGGTCAAATAATATTATACAAGTACTAACTGGTTAAAAAGATATTAAATATAATTCAATGAAGTTAGCCATGTATCTGTCACAAGGCAAAATTCTCTACCAAAAATTAATCATTTCGATTAAGGATATTTTGTATCTATTTTCAAAATATTGAGATTTTAATGAAAATTGTACAGAATGTCCTTACATATGTTTAGAATCTTCAGTACAATTTTTAAATCGATTCACTAAAGCGTTCACAAGTTATAAGGATTTAATTTGTACCGAATTAACATGTGTTCTTATGGGAAACGTATAACCACGTCGATTCGAATGACAAAAACACATGGAAATAATATTTAGAATTTGTTGAAAATTTGCAAAAGTTTAGATACAGAGGAAATATTTGATCAAATAATATTATATAAGTACCCAGGTAGCACATATTCGTTTCAAAAACGTTTCACAAATGTTTCTCCGAAACGTTTTATAACCGACTCTTGAAAACGTTTCTGATTGGTTAAAATGTCCACTTGAAGAACGTTAAGAGATACGTTTTTTTCTAATAAAAAATAACGTTTAAAAAATGTTTAAAATACGTTTAAAATACATTTTCTTTCTTTTATTCGTAAAACATTTGGTTTTTACGGAATTAATAAAGAATGCATTCATACACGTTCTCTAAAAATGAATCAGTATACTGGAAACAGTAAACAGAGTTACTGATATACAGTTGATATGCAGTTATAAGTTATTATAGCACTGTGAATCGATAATATTCCACTAAAAGAATTAACATTGACTTTTAATTAGTAATATTAATTTATCTACTTCATATAAAATTAAAAATTTCATTTATATTTACATGCATATTAGAACATATGAATGTTAAATAGATGATAATTTATTTTACATCTTTAATATATAATGAACAGATGATTTTTGTTTATTCGCCGGATATGTCCGACTTATAAAATCGATTTAATATCTAAAATTCCTCTATTGAGATTCTATCAGAAATTAAATCGAAGTGATACTTTTAATTTTATCTGTTGTCTTTTGCAAGCTTTATATAATCCTCATGACCAAAACTTAAGTATGAGAAAAATAGCGCACCGTAGCGGTAAACAAACGAACTAGCGATTACTGATTTTGTGGTAAAATTTTACTTCCACTGACTATAATTAATAAGATATAAGATAAAGTAACAAAAAAGAAGCGTTTCTACTAGAGATCAATGAAATACTGATTCTTAGTGATCTTTCTTAGTGATCTTATTCATATATTTGTAAATAGAAATTAATATAGTTTTTATAATAATTATATATATATATATATATATATATATATATATATTGTATGTATGTATGTATATGTATATGTATGTACATATGTATATATAAGTTAAAATTAATTTGAAATTAATAAAAATTAATTTTTATTTTGTCTATAGAAACGTAAAAAATACATTTCCTTAACTATGGTTTTAAAATCGTTTCTATAGGAACGTTTTTTATTAATGCTTTACGGTTAAAAAATATTAGATACATTTAAGAAACGTATATAAAACGACCGTGTGCTACCTGGGTACTAACTGATTAAAAAGATATTAAATATAATTCAATGAAGTTAGCCATGTATCTGTCACAAGGCGAAATTCTATGCCAAAAATTAATCATTTCGATTAAGAATATTTTGTATCTATTTTCAAAATATTGAGAATTTAATGAAAATTGTAGAATGTCCTTACATATGTTTAGAATCTTCCGTACAATTTTTAAATCGATTCACTGAAGCGTTCTCAAGTTATAAGTATTTAATTTGCACCGAATTAACATGTGTTCTTATGGGAAACGTATAACCACGTCGATTCGGATGACAAAAACACATGGAAATAATATTTAGAATTTGTTGAAAATTTGCAAAAGTTTAGATACGGGGGAAATATTTGGTCAAATAATATTATACAAGTACTAACTGGTTAAAAAGATATTAAATATAATTCAATCAAGTTAGCCATGTATCTATCACAAGGCGAAATTCTCTGTCAAAAGTTAATCATTTCGATTAACAAAGTTCGAAATATTTCAGTAAAAACTCAATAAATATTAAAAAATATATCTCTGCACTATAGCTAAGAATTGTAATATTCCACACAATTTCTTACTTAAAATACACCAAAAGTGGATATATGCGTCAATATTAATTTTCAGCTACTTTTTGCTGGAATTGTACATACAAAACATCCTTAAAAACCTATCCTGGAGAAATTTTGCGACCAAATTCGTTTTTAAAAAATGCATCAAATTCACCTATTTTGCTTTTTGTAACTAAACCAAACCTAAAATTTCGCAAACTTGGATTATCATCGGCCAATTTACCAAAAGTTTCTTCATTCTTCCGCTAGATGGACGTAGCCTGCAGACTTATGTTTGAAGTTCGAATCACTGGCAGAAACTGATTTAACTGATTCAAGCCAGGAACAATGATACTGGGTGAATGACCGGCATCAATAAATACTGAACATGATTAGTAAACGCGGTGCACTTATAGTTTTAGAGGGCTGCGATCGAGCCGGTAAATCGACCCAGATGAAGATGTTGATAAATGCATTGAACGATCTACGGATTCCTGCAGAAAACATAGCTTTCCCGAGTAAGTTGCACGTGAGTCTCTCATAAGAATCACAAGGTTATGTTTTGATTGTTTTGCGCGACAAAACGTTTTTTCTCTATTATTAATCCAACAATATTAACAAATAAAAATTTGCACGTCAAATATGATTGTTATTTTATTTATAGAAATTAGCATCATAATACATTATTTTTTCTTCAATTGTCTTCATTATTGCTGAAAAATGATATCAAACATGTAATGATTTTGTTCAAGGTAAATATTCTATTTTACTTTTGCAGATAGAAAGACTCCTGTCGGATCTATCTTGGATAGTTTTCTGTCAAAAAAGATAAATGTGCCACCGGAAACAGCCCATTTGTTGTTCTCTGCGAATCGATGGGAGTGTAAAGAGGACATGGAGAAGACACTTCTGTCTGGTGTCACTCTAATAGTGGACAGATACGCAGCCTCTGGTGCTGTATATACAGCAGCCAATACTGGCAGAAGTCTCAATTGGTGCCAACAGCCCGACCTAGGGCTTCCAAAACCGGATTGCGTGATGTTTCTCAAGGTGTCCAAGCGACAGCAGGAGCAGCGTAGTGATTGGGGAAAAGAAAGATTCGAGCATGACGAATTTCAGCAACGTGTCAATGCTAATTATGAGAAATTAAGAGATGACACTTGGATCACTATAAATGCGGATCAGGATGAATCAGCTGTGCACAGTGAAATACTGCGGATGGCGTTATCAGTCATCCAAGAGATTCAGTATCGTAATATAGAATTGTTAAGTAACTGAGGATGCTGATAAATTTGTAATTTTATACCTTTATCTCGGCAAGGAATTACTATATTAGTAATTCTTAGCGATATTTGCCGCAATCTCTAATAAGGTTTTGAAATCATAATGTAAAACTATTAAGTGATTGAAGATGCTGATAAATTTTGAATTTCACGTTTTTATCTCGAGGAATTACTATATTAGTAATTCTTTGCAATATTTGCTACAGTTTCTATAAAGTACAATTTTTATAAAGTATTAGATGACTTTATCAAATAAAAGACTATTTTATAAAAGACTATCTGAAAGTTGTAAATTGTAATTTAGATTTTCTATTGATTAAATTAAACTGTTGTATAAATCTTGTTAGTTTCTATTTGATAGATATACAATTACCAGCAATAATAAGCATATGTCTCATTGAAATATAAAAAACGGAAAAATTTAGATAAAATTATATGTATGAGTATATTTGTATAGATGTAATATGTTAACATGTAAGCTTGCGTATGCTTGATTTAAAATTATTTGTTTCATTAATGTTTATGCATAACATACCTCGCGATGGCATTTACGCCAAGTGTAATAAAATAAATTTCTTTTTATTTTCATCGATAAAAACGAAAGTAGATATCACGTTACACTATTTTCCATGCAAATATAATTTCACGCTTGTCATAATGATAAGTTGCCGAGACTTCCTTTTCCATCGGGATTTGAATACAAATCCGGTTTCCATCTTTAGAAAAGTCGACATTAAAGAAAAAATCGGGGTCACATGCGTCTTTCAGACAGATGTAGACTTGTACCAGAGAAATGCGACTTCGTCATACATCTGCTCTCGGTCCCGGTAAAATATAAAATACGCGACAGACATTTCCGGAATCGCGGATCGTGCATTTCGCGCTGAGATACACCTCGTCCTCGGGACATGATTGATGACGCGACACGTTAGATATTGTGCAAATAATAAAATTCAGGGTTGGCAAAAGACTTGTTTTTTTTTATTTTAAACAAAAAACGTTTTTTTTTTTGTTTAGAATAATGTTTTTTGTTTTATTTGTGTTTTTAAGTGAAGTAAAAAAAACATGTTTAAAACAAAAAAAAGCATGTTTTAAACAAGCAAAAAACACTTAATAGCTTTGATCTGTGTAAATATTTAAATTTTTCGCTAGCGTTAAACTGTAAATAACGTTGCCAAAATTGACAACGCTATTAAAAATATAAGTAATAAAATAAAAATGATAAGATTGATGAGTATTATTTTAGCAAGATATTTATTTTTGGAGAAAAAAAATTCTAATTAATAATATTTAATATATAATACTTTGGTTCTTTTCCTATTCTTATTAGGTAACCTATTCCTATTAAGTAACTTCATGCTTAACTTTCAACATAAATTATAAATAAAAGAAAAATTAAAAAGCTCAATTCTTTTTTTTAAAAGAATAACCTTTTTTTAGAACTACTGACCTGCTATGAGTTATATACTATTAATTTAAAATGCTAAAATGTAAAATGTAAAGTCAGTCAATATCTTCTAAGTAATCTTTATTGTATTGATTGTTATTTAATATCCAAAAATAAATATTCTGCTAAAATAATACCCATCTTATCATTTTTATTTTATTATTTACATTTTTATATCTATATGTTACATAAATATAGATAAAAAACTAAAAACACTAAAACAAAAACTTTTTTGCAATATATACATCTATTAGTTCTTGTTTGTTTTTGATTTTTTTTACAATTTCTTTTCCAAATAATCATATATTTTATTTGCGATATTTTAAACGGTTCTAAACAGTAGTTTAAAACAAAAATGTTTAAAACAGTGTCCACTGTTTTAAACAAGTTTTAATCAAACAGTTTTAAACACATTGTTTAAAACATGCCAACCCTGATAAAATTCTACAAGAAATATAAGTATATGTTAGATTATAAGTAACAATGTATAAAAATAAAATGAGTATTATTACAAGCAGGTGGATTGAGATTCATATAGATATCTAGCGTTTTTGTTAAAGAACTCGGCTCGATAATAAATTGCATGTTGTTTAAGTTCGTTGTTCTATTAAGAGGAAAAAACATCGAGAAAAAGACGAGTTTTGTCTCGGAAAAAATCAAGTCAAAAGCCAATTTCTGATTTATCTTCCTTGCCTTTATCCTCTTTATAAGAACATAATTCGCCCACCTTATTCCACTTGATAGTAGTAAATTGTACAGCAGTTTTAGTTGCGATTTAAAAACTGAGAACGCAACATAAACTGATTTATATCGCCCTGTAATCTATCATAATTTTTTTGTCATGATAAGTAGATAAAAGAAAATAATAAAAAAATGAAAGTTAATAATTATAGAAGAAATTGTAATTCGAATTTTGATTTATATTTTTTTCTTACGTAATTATATTCTTCGCTTATCATTTTGAATATTTTCAGAATTTATATTTTTAAAACATTAAAAAGGAAATGGCATAAGAGCCAACGCGCGGTAGTTAAAGCGCAGAGAAGCAACAACACTTCTTTTTTTTTCAATATTAGTTTAAAAAACACATTGTAATAATAAATAATATTATTACAAATAATAATTATATTTTTAACTTAAAGATCGTCAGATTTTTTAAATTGGAGTCGCGATTCTTTCAGTTTCCGTGCCGTCTCTCTTTGCTGTTCCTCTAGGAACTTTTCGAAAGTTTAATTTTTACAGTTTTGAGACTTCAAACTCAAAGAAATTTTTAGAATTTTTGCCATTCTTGAAATTTCTATCTATGCCACTTCTCGTATGCTTACATTGCACCCTGCTTTTCACATTTTCGCCTGTTCGCTCAGCTTATTCACGCTATCGAATTCCTATTATATAATATTTTAAAATTCACTTATCGGGAGAAAATCGAATTTGCGAAAGATAAATGTGTGTGTGTACGTAACGTTTAATTTTGAAAAATATTTGCTCGAAGATTGCTAATAGAGAGTTCCATATTTAACACACAATAAACATTAAACAAAGTAATTAATAATTAATTACGAGAAGACTAAAATGTGATATAATATTACTTTAATGCGAAAATTCATTTTTATTCTGAAAATGTTTCTCGAAATTTACGGCGTATTCTCGAATGATAATAAATATGACAAACGGATATCGATTATGTTGCGACAGTGCTGGCAGCTAAAGATTTTTTCTGTATGAAAATGATAAATTGTATTTTTTCCGCAGGAAGGCACATATGTGTAATGATACCTTTCATCGTTCATCTAGACGCAAGAGCATAATGAAACGTGTTTATGAAAGCGTACTCAAGCAAGAGAAGATATTCGAGTAGTTTATAAATTATGTGCATACACAGAATCCGATAGCTAAATTATGAAAAGAATAGACGGTGATGGATCTACGTTAATCTCTGAATCTCTCAAAATATCCCAGAATGAAGAGAATTTAATTAATACATTTTTTTCTCTTAGACAACAAATTAATTTTTTTATACACTTTTAAATTATTTTCTTTATTTTTTATTGTAAATTTGTTAGAAAATATATAGTTCGTTGGATATTTGAACAGACTAATGGTATATTTAAAATATTTGCTAATTTCAATAAATAAATCGATGTATTTAAAACTTGAAATGTTGATCGATTTATTAAAAAGATTGTGATTATATAAGTAGATTATTATTTAATTATGTATCTAGATCTGGTTCTTGCAAATAATATACATATTTAATTATTTAGTTACTTTTAATACTGTTTAATAATTTATTTATATTTTTGTAAAACATAAATATTTAATTATTTAGCAGATTAATATGTCATAAATAAATTACATTAAAATTGATATATTTGTTATTCTTTCTCTTTCTCTACTTTCTTTTCACCTTATCCATATAAAAGTGTTTTTTTCTTCTAATATCTCGGGAACAATTATTTTTTTTTATACATGAAATCGAATTATTTTAAGTGAAATTAATTTTTTATATACTTTTAAATTCTATTCTATTCTATTAATTTATTGTCTAACCCCTCAGGGTTTACAAGGCGCTTTTGCAGGGAGCGTTCCCGAACCCTTTACATCATAATCCCTCCAATTTTCCTGACCTGGCCATTTTGCGACCCATACATTCTAGAACCCTCTCCCTCCCCACGCACCCTTACCTCCTCCACACGTACAAAACCCTTCCCCCTATAACTCCTTCTTTCTTCCTCTCTGTGTCTCCCTTTTCTCAGTCCAACTTCCTCTCGTTCTTCCTCCTTCCTTTCTCCTCCTTTCCACTGCATCTCCGTCCCTTCCTCCTTCCTGTCCTTCTCAGAGCCCTTCCTGCATCTTCCTCCTCCTTCCTCTGTCAACAGGTGCTCTCTCCTTTACAGCTCTTTCCTGTAACATAACTAACCTATTCCTTTATCCCTCCTCCTCTCTCCTCTACCCTCCTCTCCCCCCCTCTCATCATAGCCCTCTTCTCCCTCTATCCTCCACCATCTACTCTTTTCCCTCCCCTCCTTTCCTAACTATCATTACTTTCTCCCTCCGTTTCCGTCTTTATCTCATCCTCCTTCCATTCGTTCCTTTCTGTGTCCCATCCCCAAGCTTTTCCTCCCATTCCATATTCTCCTATTCGTCCCCACGACCACCCTCCCTTTAGCCCTCCCGACCACCCTCCCTTTAGCCCTCTGCCCTCGCTCTTTCCACTAATTTCCATCTAACCTTCCTTTCCTCCATCGTTAGGTCCACATCAATTCCTACTCCCCAATTCCTCCTTATCTCCCACCCCTTCTCTAATAATAATAACTCCTAATAATAACTCCTTCCTGTCCTTCCGTTTCCCCATCTTCGCTATTAGAAGCATCCCTGCTGTCCCCCTTCTCTCTATCACCTCGTTCATTTCCACCCTTCTTCCTAACTCTTCAGCCACAATCCCCTCCATCACTCTCCTTCTCTCTTCCGAATTTCCCCCCTCTATTCCTCTCCACACCACGTTCATTCTTCTTTCCCTCCTCATCATCCCATCCCCCCCTTTTCCTACTCCTCCTCTCTGACTCCTTCCTCTCCTTCTCTCTTCTCACTCTATCTCTTCTCTCTTCAAATTTCTTCCACATGTCCTCCTCCCCTTGCTTCTCTCTTCTTGTCTCTTCTCTCTTCTCTTCTTCCCTCCCTTCACTAGCCCTTTTCCTCTTCTTTTTTTCCTCTTCCTCTTCCCTCACCAACCACCACCAATCTTCCTCCTCCTCTTCACTCCCCCTACTTCTCTCCCCCCCAAGCTTCTC